CAATGATTCTATTGGGTCGTCGGGAAAGTCAGAACGTATTTTCCTATATTTTTCAATGCAAAAATGTGTCATGACTTTCCCGACGACCCAATCTCTCCAAATTGGGTCACATTCACAGATACTGGGGTTTAGGACACCAACACATCTTGGTGAGGGCACAGTTCAACCCACAACAGTCCAGACAGCTTGGCTCTGCCCTGCCCGTTCCTTCACCCTCTCCCCACCCCATCTGCCTCTTCCCCTTCGTCTGGCTTGATTGGTCCTTAAAAAGCGGTGGGAGCCTGATGGGCGTCTTGGAGACCTGCAGAGAGCTTCCTCCAGGGCCGGTGGAAGGAGGAATTACAATAATAAATCCACTTGCTTTGGCAGAGATTTTTTTTTTAAGCTGATTTGTCTGTGTGTTTATCTCTCATGTATTAAAGGAGGAGGCGCACATGATCTTAAAAAACGAAAATTCATGGCACAGACACAGAAAATAAAGGGTGGGGGTCAGTTTGCGAGCAGACGTTCTCCGCCCAGGATGCTGGGGTAGGGCAGGCTGGCCTCAGACGCCTGGGGGAGCGCTCGGGCGGGGATTGGAGAGGAACTCGTTGCCTAAGAGATACTCAGATGTGGGGGAACCCCTTGGGGATAGATTATGGGAAGAGACATGAGCATCAACCATGCGGGCACTCTTCAGCCCATTGGTATCTACTATGGGGAGTCAGAGGAAGGAAAAGGCTAGAGTTGTGTTACTGACTTTTCAGCAATCTCTTTATAAAGCCATTAAGGTATGGTGATCAAGTAGCTTATCATTCTGATAGTGAAAAGTATGCTGTTACTAATTATGCCCAGACAGCAGGCAAAAACTGGAACTATGCCAGGCAAAGTGGGGCGTGTGATTATCCTAATCAGGGGAAGGGACGTTTTTCTCAGACTTTACCACCATTAAAATAGCTGGTCTAAGTGCATTTTATGCTTGTGGTGACTGTGACTCATTGTGTTTCCTTCTTTGCTTTGGCCTCTAGGAAGCTCAGAACCATATTTGTGGCCTCACTTTTGAAATTCTGCTGGAAAAACCAAATGTATGTCTGCGTACTTTCACGAGCTTTCTCTTATTCTTCAACCCTCATTTCTTTTTTTTTTTCATTCTAACATTTTATTCTTTTTGAAAATCTTATTGTATGTATTTTGTAAGCAGTTAGCATGGATGATGTCTGAAAGAAATGATGGGATGAATATATGTTTGGATGGTTGGATAGGTTGGTGTTTGGCTAGATAGATGAATGAGTGGGTAGGTGTGTGTGTGTTTGAATAGATGGGTGGCTGTTTGGATCAATGAATAGATGGATAGGTGGTTAGCCATGTAGATAGACGGATGAGTGAATGGATGTTTGGATGGATGAATGTTTAGATGAATGTAAGGATGGGTGCCTGGCTGAATATTTAGATGGATGGATGCATGCTTGAATGTATGAGTGGATGTTTGGCTGGATAAATGGATGGGTGAATAATAGGTAATTGGATGAATGGAAGGGTGGTCAGCTGATTGGCTGTTTAGATGGATAGATTTTTGCATGAATAGACAAATGGAGGGATAGCTGGCTGGGTGTTTGAATGGCTAGCTTATGGAGTGACCAGATGGATAGATAATGGGTGAGTGGGTGGGTATTTGGATGAATGGATGCATGGCTGGCTGGCTATTTGGGTAGATGGATAGGTACACGTGTGTGCGTGCGTGTGTGTGTGTGTGTGTGTGTGTGTCAAGTACAAGGATGAATGGATGAATCGGTCTTTGGGTGATTGGATAATACTTTCTTGGTACACAGTGTCAATGTGCCAAGGGTAAAATAACATGTACACAGTACGTTGCCAATGCCTGGCATGTCGTGGGCATTCTAACTCATTAGAAAGGACATAGGCTTTGTAGACGGAAAGACCTTTGTTTTGATCTTTGCCTTCCCACTTATTACATGACCTTACGCAATTACCTAACCTCTCTACACTTTAGTTTGCTCAACCAGAAAATGGAGTTAAGATACCTACTCTAGACACTTGCTATGAAAATTAAATGGGCCAGTATATGTTTCAGGAGTAGATGACTATATACTTTCTTATGAGGTACAATGAGAGAGAGAGAGAGATAGAGAGAGAAAATTCTTTCACCCAAGCATGAAATAAGAGTCCTTTCCCTTAGTCTTACTGATCCAACCTAAGTCATGTGCCCGCCCTGGGACCAATAGCAGTTGCTAATGCTATTTGGTGCTAGTTGCTAATGCCATGCGCTGTTTGGGTTAGATTGATCAGGCTCCGCCCTCAGCGTTGGGACCAGGCCACCTTCTCCTGAGAGCTCCCTGCTTGAATGAAGGAAAGGAGGGAAGGAACAGTTAGGGGGGTTCTGGTTCAGATCAGATGAGAGATGACACCCATGCTGACAGGCAGTGGAAATGCGTGACCAGTGGACAGGCTGTAACCATGTTAAGGGTGTAGAAAAACCATGCTTTGGTAATTGATTAGACGTCAGTGGAGAGGTGGAAGGATAGCGATATTCACTGGGATGGGGCACCCCAGGGAAGTGCAGGTTGATGAGTTAAAGTCGGGCCACGTTGCCGTTAGAGTCTCTCTAGAAGATCCACAGGGAGAGGTGGTTGGATTGGTGTACCTGGGGCTCTGTTGAAACGTCAGGGCTGCAGAAAATGGGAAGTAATCAATATCTCAGTCTTTACAAACCCATGTGCCCTTTCAAACATAAAATCTTATATCCTCCTTTAATGTTATTTAAGACTTCTAAGTGCATTAAATATATGATTAAAAACAATTCAAATGACTTGCAGGATTGAGTCAGCTTCTCAGCCGATGCTGCTGCCCTGCCTGCCGCAGGCAGGTGAGGAAGAGGCCTCTGTCCCTGGCACGTTTGGAGACCCAGGCTAGTTTACCCTGCCCTTGTGGTGCCTGGGTGGGCGGGCACCAGAAGTGGGCTGCACAGCCCAAACCTTGATCACTGATGTGATCCCCTCTGCTGGTGGTGTCCCTGGCAGGCAGGTGTCTAGACTGTGCTTGGTCAACTCCAGAGTCAGGGAGCTCGTTACCTCCTGAGACAGCCTCTGTCATCCTGATGGACATCCCTGCCCGTGAACGTTATTGGCCCCCATGGCTCTTCCCCACTATGTGTAGCTCCGCCCCCCAGGTCAGTGTGGAGAGCATGGAGCTGGGTGCCTTCCTGTGCCAGTTCCTCAGGCATTGGACCGAGTGGTCAGGCTTGCCTTTAGTCCCCCCTCTTCTTCAAGCTGACCCTAGCCCAGCTTTCATAGCTGGAACCCAGCCTCAAAAATCCCTCTTCGAGGGCCGGCCGAGTGGTGCGGTTGGTTAAGAGCTGGCTTGGGATGCCAGAGGGCCCCGGTTCGGATCCCACATATGAGGGCCAGTGACACTGCCCTCTACAGCTAAGATGCTGAACAACAGCTCAACCTGGAGCTGGGAGTCGCCGGTGACACTGTAGGCTGCAGCCCCAGTGGGTTGCCATGGGCTACTGTGTGTAGCCAGCAGCCGGCGTGAGCGGCCAGCATCCGCAGTGAGCGCCCATCCAGAAGCCGGCAACTGATCTGCCTCGCCCAGGAAGAGCGCAATGATGGTGCCAACTTGGGCCAGTGAAGCAACTGCCTCCACAACTAGACTGAAGAACAAAAGGACAGCAACTTGTCTGTTCCCCTTCCCCCAATTCCCCAGCACTGTTCCCCTCCCCCAATTCCCCAATAAAAAAATCTAAAGAAAAAAAATCCCTCTTCGACAGGGTAGGGGACAGACAGACAGCTTCTTTGGTAGTAAAGTCTTGTGAGGCACTTCTGGTTCTGCTTAGCTGGGGCACTTCTCATTCCACTGTTGGGGGGGCGCTTCCAGCTGCCCCCTTCCCTGCTTCTCCACATCTCCTGTGGGGGTGGGGGTGAGTGTAGGTTGCAGCCACAAGCCCAGGAAGCATCCGCCCAGCAGAGCCAGAGAAGGGCGGGCACCCCACCTCACCCCCCACCCTGGGTGATGCTGCCGGTTCTCGGTGGCCTGCTCAACACTCCCAGAGGTGCGGCCAAGCTTAGGCCCCTTGGGCTCCAGAGCCAGACTGCGCTAGTTCAAATCCCACTTGTACCACATCCTTTGGCAAGGTTTTGGCTCCCCTGTGCCTCAGCTCCTCCAGTGCCTTTGTGAAATTGGAATAACGATGACAGTGCCTCCGTCACTGAGTTAGGGTGGGATTTGAAGAGATAACGGCACGGTGGTGTCAGCGGCACTGGGGTGTACAAGCAGGTTGTTGAACGTGAACTAGGCGTGTTCCTGTAATGTTCCTGTTATTCTCCGCGGTCTCTCAAATCGCTCAGGAACTCCACAACTGATAGCCCATTGACCTCTGATGGGAAATGTTGAAAAAGACTTAAAACAGCCAAAAAGGTGACCTTTACAAAGGCCTTTGGCCATTGTTTATGAGACAGAAGCCTTTGTGAGAATCAGAAAACTGGAGCCGTAGAAATCCAGGCCCCAGACGCTGATGTGGAAGGAAACTATTGTGGGGAGTGTATGGACTCCCTCTCGTTCCAGAGCTGACACTGTGGTGGAATGCGAAGCTCGTTTCGTTTAATACCTCCCGCTTCCCAAGTGATGAGCTCTCCATCTGTGCAAGGCTTTCAAAAAGGCTGGAGAAAGCCAGTTTGGGGGGCTTCCTCATGCTGTTACTGTTGAGAGGTTTCCAAGTGAGGCAGAGCTGGGTGTGACTCTTGGCTGCTTCACTGTGGTGGGAGCCGGAAGGCGCCCTGCACTGCCTACCACGTGGCCCTGCTGTCAAGGTGGTGGCCAGCCTTGCTGCAGAGCCAGGAGCGCCATCCTTGTAACCTTTGGGTCCCCAGGCCCCAGTGATGGTTCTAGTGAATACCTGTTGAGTGATCCCCTAGCCACTCCTGTCCAGGTGGCTTCAGCAGTCGGGGCAGAGGGGACCGCAGGCTCTTGCTCTGACACTTCTCATGCCTCTCGTTTTGCAGACATCGACGAGTGTGAGAATGACTACTACAACGGGGGCTGTGTGCACGAGTGCATCAATATCCCGGGGAACTACAGGTGTACCTGCTTTGACGGCTTCATGCTGGCCCACGACGGCCACAACTGCCTGGGTGAGTGCTGCAGCTGTGCCCTGACGGCGAGGCACACCCTCCTGCTTCTCAGCTCCCGCCTGCAGCGTTGGGGGCTGTGGGGAGGTTTGCTGTCCTTTGGTTCCTTGTATTGGTTCGCTGGGGCTGCCATAACACAAGAGCACAGACTGGGGGTGCTTAAACAACAGGAATTTATTTTCTCACGGTTCTGAAGGCTAGAAGTCTGAGGTCAAGGTGTCGATTGTTTTGGTTTTTTTCCTGAGGCCTCTTGACTTGGCTTGCAGACAGCCAGCCACCTTCTTACTAGGTGTTCATATGGTCATCTCTCTGTGCGTACATATATTTGGTGTGTCTCTGTGTGTCCTAATCTCCTCTTATGAGGACACCAGTCATATTGGAGTAGGGCCCATCCTAACCGCTTTTAACTTAATTACCTCTGTGAAAGCCCTATCTTAAATACAGTCACATGCCAAGGTACTGGGGGTTAGGGCTTCAATGTATCGATTTTGGGGGAGCACAATTCAGCTCATAACAAGGATTCTCATATACCTCCAGATTCTCATGGTTCAAAGGTATATATTTTTTAAGCCAGTTGCTTGCTGGATATAATCGGAAAAATGTAGAACAGGGACAAAAAATTGCGACGCATCTTAGTTATACTGGTATATTTCCTTTGAGGCTCCTCTCTGCACCCAGGTGTGATTTCACGGCGGTGGTGATCAGGTGGTCAGCATGGTTTTGTCCGTGGATTTTCCCTTTGACGTAATGGGAACCTCACGTATTTTTACCTGGGTCCATTTTCCTAGTTGCCTCATAGCCTGATAAGTGACTAGTAGCCTGGGGCTGCTGTAACAAAGTAACAAACTGAGTGGCTTAAACCACAGAAATCTCTTAGAAAGAATTTATTCTCTCGCTGCCGGGAGGCTAAACATCTGAAGTCAGGGTGTCAGCAGGATTGGTTCCTGAGGGCTTCGAGGGGGAGCCCCTTCCAGTCCTCTCTAGCTTCTGGTAGCCTCAGACGTGCCTTTGCTCCACGCTCTCCCTGTTTTCACATCGTCTTCGCTCCATGCATTTCTGTCTGCGTCCACATTTCCCCTTTTTATAAGGACGCAGTCATATTGGGTTAGGGCTTCCCCTAATGACCTCATCTTAACTTGGTCATCTGCAAGTAACTTACCTCCCCAAAAAGGTTGCATTCACAGACACTGGTGGTTAGGACCTCAACATCTTTTGGGAAGAATAATTCAAGCCATAACAGAGGCCGTTTGCAGCCTGTAGCAGGAGGAACAGCTCATGGCTGAAAGCACATGGTCCCAAAACAGAGGTGCCTGTCCCTTAAGCACTCTTCTGCCACTGGCTGCTGAGTAGCCCGTGGCACGACAGCTGGAGTCCAGGGGATAAGACCAGGACTTGGCAGGAATGTGGCTGTGGCTGTGGACCGAGCTCTGGGCCTCGGTCACTTGTCATTGGCGAAGCGGGGACGTGAAGAGCACCTGCTTCATGGCGATGGTGAGCAGTAACCGAGACCACGCCTGGACGGCTGACAAGTGAGTCCTGCACAGGACTGTCAATACTAGTAGCCGTTATTGTCATCATGATTCCTGAGCCGCGGGCTTCCCCACTGTAACATGGAGACAGTGATGCTGCCTCCATCACCAGGTTGTATGTGAGGATGAAGTGCAGTGACTGGCACTTAGTAGGTACAAACAGTCAACAAGCAGGCATTAGTATTACTCTAGGTGACCCGGCCACCCTTTTGGGGTTGGACATTGAGATTGTTTGCTTACTTTGTCTGTTTGTTTTTTACCATCAGAATCTAGAGGTGATTCTGGGCATGAAACTTTTTTTTCTTGTTTCCCCAATTGTTCCCTCAGCAATTCTTTCCAGAAGTGGGACTCCTGGGTCCAAGGATCACTTGGATTTTTTATGGCTTTTGGTGCCGTGCTCCCTGAAAGCGCTGGGCACCCCTTCCACTGTGCCCGCTGGCGCGCTGGTGCGTGGCATGCGAGCTGGACGTCCGCCATACGCCTTCCTCCTCGTGGTGAATTAGCCTTCAGTTCCCTGCCTGTTTTTGTTTAATGCCTGTTGGATCTCGGATGAGCTTGTTATGGGAAACATATCTGTGAACATGTAATTACACCCACAATAAGTGCTGGAACGGAGGTCTGGACAGCAGGCTGTTGAAGCCCAGAGGCGCCTGTGAAGAGTTACCCTTGCATGGAGTTAGTGGGGCTAACTCCTCGGTGGGGGGGAGCTTTAAAGAGAAGGGGTTGCACTGGGCAGGATCTCCAGATGTTGGGGAGCAGCTTGCTGAGGTGAGGGCACAGCCTGTGCAGAGAGCTGTGGGTGGGTCCTTGAAGTCGGGCTCAGGGTGGTTGGCAGGAATGTGGGAGGTGGGGCTGCGGAAATAGGCAGAGCCTTTAATTAGATTGTGAAGAGCAGGGCTGTGCAACATCTATTGTGCCAGAAACCGAGTTAATTGTCATCCAAGTGTTACCTATTGAATCCTCCCAAAGCGTAAGCCCTTAGCTTTACCAGCTGTTTGCCCCTTTTCCAGATGGTAGAGAGTAATCCATTCGTCCATGAAGGCAGAGCTGACAATGCCTTTGGGGCAATAGGCAGTATCACCCAGTGGTCAAGAGTACAGGCCTGGAGAATGGCCAGTTGTGGGCTCCAATCCTGGCTCTGCCAGTTTGTGACCTTTGGCCAGTCACTTCAACTTCGTGCCTCAGTTTCCTCACCTGCAAAAGAATTCACAGTCCCTGTCTTTTAGGGTTTTTACGAGACTGAATGAGATCGTGGGTGTAGAGCGTCTAGCGCAGGGGTCGGCAAACTGCGGCTTGCGAGCCACATGCGGCTCTTTGGGTACGTTCAGTCTCAAAAGTTTGCCGACCCCTGGAAGAGCCAATCCTGTCCCTCACAACAATTTAAAAATTATTTGAGAGCCATAAATGTATTTTTACATAATCACCATTATGTGAATAATATCCTTTAAAAAAATTTTTTTAAGACTTTTTATTGGGGAATTGGGGAGATGGGAACAGACAAGTTGCTGTCGTTTTGTTCTTCAGTCTAGTTGTGGAGGACGTTGCTTCACTGGCCCAAGTTGGCACCATCATTGCACTCTTCCAGGGCGAGGCACATCAGTCGCCGGCTTCTGGACGGCCGCTCACTGTGGCTGCTGGCCGCTCACGCTGGCTGCTGGCTACACATGGTAGCCCATGGCAACCCACTGCCACAGGGGCTGCAGCCTACGCCATCGCCGGTGACTCACAGCAGCCCAGCTCCAAGCTGAGATGTTGTTCAGCATCTTAGCTGTGGAGGGCAGTGTCACTGGCTCTCATATGTGGGATCCGAACCAGGGCCCTCTGGTATCCCAAGCCAGTTCTTAACCATCGTGCCTCTCGGCCAGCCCTCCTTTAAAATTTTTTATACATGAAACTATGATAGTTTTATTTTCATTTTCAATTTTACTTCAGAGCCACATGTACGTACCCAAAGAGCCGCATGTGGCTTGCGAGCTGCAGTTTGCCGACCCCAGGTGGCTCTTCCGTCTCAAAAGTTTGCCAACCCCTGGTCTAGAGGAGTGCACTGAGCACTCAAAATGAAACAGGCATCAATCTGATCACCAACTTTCAGAAGAGATGTATTGCGGTGGGATAGTTTGACGCCTCTGAAACCTCGTGGGGCCCAGAGCCTTCTGTCTGCGTTCCCTGGGCCATGTCTGAACATGGGCTGCCCTCCTGGGCACAGCACCCTACCCGTGTCTGTAAACGCTTGTGTTCTCGGCTGTGGCAGGTACACCCAGTGCCTCCAGATTAACAGTGCAGCCTGTGTGGGTCTTTGTTTCAACAACATTATTTTCACAACGGATTCTTTTTAGACTGATTAATTTAAAGAACCGGGTGAGACCTCCCCCACCCCACCCCTGAGCCCCGATTGCAACTGCGGACAGCTCTAAGTCACACATGTGGCCGCCAAGAAAAGGCTCTCTCTGTTGCCCCTCTGCTTTTCGCTGAGGGCAGACCCTTCCCAACAGACTCTTTTTGTTTGGGTTTTTCCCTCCTCAAGACAAAACTCCGGCTCTAGAGAAGTCAGACCTTGGTTCTATCCGGCCCGGAACCACACTGACCACGTGACCTCTCAGAGCCTCATCCATAAAATGCTGTAGGAATTAAACTGCCAGGCACAGCGTCAGGATCACGGAGGCTTGATAATGTTGGCGGAAACAAATACCGCTGTAAGAGGAGGCTGGGCTTGGAGTGTGACGAGGTGGCCTGAGATCCTGGCTTCGGGACCTGTTATTCAAACTCTCCAAGCTTCAGTTCTCTGAAACAGGTCAGTCCTACCTGTCTCCGAGGGTCGCTGTGATAGTTAAATACGAAAGTAGATGTGGAAAGCTGTATGTGCTGGTGGAGAATTCTGCAGGTGCTGGATATTATCATCCTCTTGTTGCCGGGGTTTCAAGCTGGCAGCCCACAGCCCTCAGCCAGCCTGCACCCTTGGTTTATCCTGACGGTGGTGGTGTTGTACCATCACCATCATCATCATCATCATCATCATCATCGAATGACTTGTCAACATTTAAAAACCAAGGGATATCACATAAAAAATCTATATTTCCAGCATTGTTCCTGCTTGGTCACAGTCACATGGCCCCTGATGTTTGTGAGGTTTTGTCAGGAGTACAATGGAAGCCTATACTTCACGTGGCTAAACATGTAAAAGTCATTACGAAGCTTCAAAACTAGAATATTTTCAACCGAGTCTACCTTGACAAGTGTTCCTTCCTAAGGACCTGGGAGGTAGCCTGGGATTTAGAATTCCAGGACCCTTGGAGTTTGTGCCTGAAAGTGGTAGTGTGGGCAGTGCCCGCTCCCACCCCCTTCTCTCACCCCTGGCTCCATCCTACCCACGGGAGCCTGGGACACACAGCCAGAGCCTGACCACTCTCTGCCCACAAACCACCTCTCCTTTTGTGACTGCTTGGTCCTGAGTAGCATCTATTCCTCAGAGAGTAG